GTATCTGTGTTTACACATGAGTACATGTGCCCATGGAGGCAAGAAGAGGGCATCAGATCCCCTACTAGAATCACATGGCTGTAGGCCACCTGACCTGGGTATCGAGATTCTGACAGGGTCTCTGCAAGGGCTGAGCCATCTCTGTAGTCAACGGTATTTTTTTTTTAATTGAGCTACTGCCTGTTTCCTTCCATTTTCCCGAAGCCACTCCTGAACCTCCTACCCCCACCTCCGGATCGCACTGGCTTTCAGTACCCACATCTTATCTTACCTAAAACTTTCTCCTACCCTCCGCTTAGATAACTTCTAGTTGGTTTTCAGGTTTTAGCTGAAACATAATTTCATTAAGAATGCATTTTCTGCCTGGCCTAAAGTTACTAAGAGCCCCACTGTTTCCTTACATGATGTTGTCCATCACCACATTTATTACAAATTTTATCCCTTTCTACTTCCTATGCCAGGAGGGATCGCTTCTCCATGGAACTTTAAGAAAGAGGGCTAGAGAAATGGCTCAGTGGTTAACAGCACTGTCTGCTCTTCCTAAAGGTCTTGAGTTCAATTCCCAGCACCCACACAGTGGCTCACAAGCATCTATAATGGGATCTGCTGCCCTCTTCTGCAGGTGTACATGCAGACAGAGCACTCAGACTTAAAAAGAAACAATAGGAATGGTTCACTTATAAACTTCTTAGTTCTCCTCTTAAGAAATAACCGGGGCCTGGAGAGATGGCTCAGAGGTTAAGAGCACTGGCTGATCTTCCAGAGATCCCAAGTTCAAGTCCCAGCAACCACATGGCAGCTCACAACCATCTATAATGAGATCTAATGTCCTCTTCTGGCGTGCAGGCACACATGCAGGCAGAACGCTGGGTACATAATAAATAAATCTTTAAAAAAAAAAAAGAATCTATTCTCTCCCTCTGTCCTGCCACCTCATTAGGACCATGGAAACTCTCAGGAATCTAAGAGAGTGGCCCTAGCTGAGACTCCTCGCAATGGAAAATACGGAACTGAAAACAGCCATCCCCTGTAACCAGGTAAGACTTCCAATGGAGGGATTGGGGCACCAGCCAGCCAGGAAACCTTAGACCCACAATTTATCCTGTCTACCAGATGTGCAGGGGTAATTGAGGAAACTGAGGGAAAGGCCAACCAGTGACTGACCCAATTTAAGACCCAGGCCAGGAGTGAGCCCATCCCCCACACTACTACTACTATTCTGTTATACTTGAAGACAGGAGGCTAGCATATCAGTCATCAGAGAGGCTTCACCATGCAACTGATGGGAACTGATGCGGAGACCCATAACCAAACATTAGGTGGGGCATGGGAAGTTCCGTGGAAGACGGGGAGGAGTGCAGGAGCCATAGAGGTCAAGAACACCACAAGAAAACTTACAGGATCAACTATCGTGGCCCCAGAGGGGCTCATAGACTTAACTTCTAACCAGAGAGCATATATGGGACAGAACAGGGCCTGTGCACGTATGTAACAGATGTGCAGATGGATCTTCATGTGGGGCTCCTAAAGTGAGCAGGGGCTATCTCTGACTACATTGCCTGCCTTGAATCTCTTTCCCTAACTGGGCTGCCATGTCTGGCCTCAGTAGAAGATGGGCCTAGCCTTACTGCAACTTGATATGCCAAGGCTAGCTGATATCCATGGGAGGCTGCCCTTTTCAGAGGAGAAAGGGATGGAGGGAGGGAGGAGAAGAGGTAAAAAGGAAGGTCCAGGAGGGGAGGAGGGAAGAGGAAGCTGCAAGTGGCCCGGGGCTGGTGAGACAGCTCAGTGGGTAAGGGAACCTGCCCCCGAGCCTGGTATCTGGTCCCTGAGACCCATATGGTGGAAAACAAGAACCAGCTCTTGCAAGCTGTCCTGTGACTTCCGTATATGTCCAGAGCATGTGCAGTTAATTTAAAACTCTGGGCACAGTGGCAGATATCTGCAAGCAGCCCTGGGGCGGTGGGGACAGGCGAATTCCAGGGCTCACTGGCCAGCCTAAGCCGACTTGTGAGGCTAAGGAGAGCCTCTATCTCAAAAAAAAAAAAAAAAAGACATATAGTTCCTGAGGAATAGCTGGGGTTGTCTTTTTACTGACCTGTACATACATGAACAAATACAACATGAACACACATGTGTACACACACACCAAGAAAAATTAAACTAGGTACATACATACCCATCATCAGGCACTAGCTGAATATTTATTCCACTAGTTCTTATACTAATGTTCTAGGTTGTTGTTTATTTTTGAGACACAGTCTCAGTAGGCATCTTTGGCTGATCTGGAGCTCACTACGTAGACCAGGCTGGCTTTGAACTCACAGAGATCCACCTGCCTCTGCCTCCTAAGTGCTGAAATGAAAGGCGTGTGCCATCACACCCAGCTTCTGGGGTTTTTAATGAGTATTTTCATTTGGGGTTTTTTTTATGTATGAGCCTGTTTTCTTCCAAATTATTACTTAATTTTCATTTTTAAGCCTACTGATACATTGTGTGATCGATTTTATTTTTATAACCAAATTTCACAAGGTCATCTTCACTATTTGACACATGTGTTATGTACCACACTAAACTGCAGTTTCTATGAAGGAATGGCTATCACATTGATTCATCATTTTTAATTTTTTTTCTTTTCTTCTCTTTTCTTTTTTCCAAGACAGGGCTTCTCTGTATAGCCCAGGCTGTCCTGAAACTTGATTTGTAAACCAGGATGGCCTTGAAACTCAGTGATTCACCTGCCTCTGCCTCCCAAGTGCTGAGATTACAGACGTGTGCCACGGTGCCCATCCTGCTTTACCATTTCTTTTTCTTTGTTATTTTATCTTTGTGCGTGTGGATGTGGGTACATGCATGCTACGGCATGTATGCAGATGCAGGCATGTGCATACCGCAGCATGTGTGTGGACGTCAGAAGACAATTTCAGGTATTGGTCCATGCTTTGACAGTCTCTCATATACACCAGGCTAAGTGGCTATTAAGCCTAGAGATCCTGTCTCCACCTCCTATCTTGATGTCGGGAGCCTTCATTACACATGTGTATGCTATTGCATCCAGGTCTATGTGAGATCCAGGGATCTGAACGCAGATTTTCAAACTTGCTTGGAAAGTATTTTATCCACTGATCCATCTCTGCAGTCCTTGTTCATCAATTCCTACACCTGTATCTGGCACATCCTATAAGGCACTTGTAACTGCTTAAGGAGGTAAAATGATTCAGCAGCAGACTGCATGGTTAGCATATATAAGGCCTTGGGTTTGATCTCAAACACATACACAGAGACACACACACAGACACACACGAAGACACACCAACAGAAGAAAGGACTTTGTATGTAATCTACTTCATTGCGAATACCTTCACTCCACCAGAGACTAAGGTGCTCGGTTTCCAGATGAAGAACAATTGTCTGGCTCTCTTCCCTGCCCTCTCCCCACCCTCTCTGTACTATAAAGGCGTTTCCTTCGACATGTAAATACACCCAAGTGTCTGCCTTCTGTGTGGAGGCATTTCTCTTATTTGCCCATGTATTACTGCTTTCTTGTTTCTCTGCATTTCATTGCTGTGGTGTTGAAAAGCAGACCCAAGGCTTTGTGCATGCTCTACCACTGACCCACCTATTTCCAGGTCTTTTACAAGAAAGTTATAAACCTGACATGGCAGCACATGCCTGTAATCCCAAGAATCAGGAGTTCAAGGTCATCCTCAACTACATGGTGAATTCAAGGCTAACCTGGGCTAGATGAAACACAGTCTCAAAAAAAGGGGATATAAAAAGAAAAAACAGCCAGGTGTGGTGTTTTACACCTGTAATCCCAGCACTCAGGAAAGCAGGTGGATCACTGTGAGTTGAAGGCCAGCCTGATCTACAAAGAGTCCAGGACAGCCAGGGGAGGGAGGGAAGGAGGGAGGGGGGAAGGGGAGAAGGAGGAAGGGAAGGAGGAAAGGAAGGAGGGAAGGAAGGAGGGAAGAAGGGAGGGAAGGAGGGAGGGAGGGAGGGAAGGAAGGAAGGAGAAAGAGAAGAATCATACTTCACTCACATTTATCTCCTATTTTCCCCTCTTACTTTTCAGATCTAAATTAATGGTGGTGGTGGTGGCGTGTGCGTGTACATGCCTGTACATGCATGTGGAGGCTACAGGTCAATGCTGGCTTTCTATTTTAATTGCTTGTCCACTTTTGAAGCGTGGTCTCTCACTGAACCTGACATGACTGATTTGCGTGCTGTGCCAGGGAGTCCCAGGGAATCTCAGGTCTCACCTCTCCAAGAGTAGGACTACAGGAGTTCACCATTATGTGGGTGTTTCTTATTTGGGTGCCAGAGATCTGTCCCTGGCCCCCACACTTACACAGCAAGCACTCTAACGACGAAGCCATCTTAGCGCCAACAGTCACCTTAACCAACCCATACAGCAGCCATCACTAAGACCCTGATAGCTTACTAACTATGATGTCCCTGAACATTTCAGGTCTTCATCCTCTGACTTCTCTGCGGTTGCAGGTTTTCTGTTTGTTTGTTTGGGTTTTTTTGAAACAGGGTTTCTCTGTGTGGCCCTGGCTGTCTTGGACTTACTCTGTAGACCAGGCTGGCCTTAAACTCACAGAGATCCGCCTGCCTCCGCCTCCCAGAGTGCTGGGATTGCAGCTGTGCACCACTGAGCCTCACTTGTGGTCACTTTTGGCATGACTGAGTACGCCCTCTTTCACGAAACCCTCCTGCCTGACACTGCTTTCCTCCCTTCTCCTAATGGTTCTACTAGCTTCTGGGACACAGCACAGTGTTTCCTGGACACCATCTAAATCACCAGGTGCAGACTGTGGACTGTGAGAACAAACAGCCAAGCAGATGAAGTCTTTCTATCTCTTCCTCTCTCCATATCTTGTACGAAGCAACTGTGGAAGACAAACTACAGGCTTTGTGGTTTCCATTAACATCCTAAGCACATCTCCTCCATCTTGAGTTTTCCGGCCAAGTTTCTCCACACTAGCTGAGCTCACCAAAACCACCTTCCTCTTCTTTCTGCTGGCCCTTGAGCTGAGAATGATCCTGAATCATTGTCTTCTGTTTGTCTTTCAGAGTGCACTCATGTCCATCTTGGATTTTCTCCATTTTCTCATTTTCTGGGAAAATAAAACAAAACATTGTGAAATGGGGAGTGTGAGAGTGTCTGCAGGCAATAAAACCCAGTGAAAGAATCAACATAAAGTTCCAAGCCTGGGGCAGAAAGGTCTTGGCCTGCCCACTACCCCTTTTTCTAATTTATTGAATAAGTACTTGAACCAGGCTTCAAAGGACGACTGACTTGGGCTGGCAAGATGACCATCCCCAGAAGCCACAGTGGAAGGAGAAATGACTCCCAAAAATCGTTCTCTGACTCCCACCCATACACCACTACATGCATAGGCCCTACATTAATAATAAATAACATTTAATTTATAAAGACTCTGGGAGGCAGAGGCAGGCAGATCGCTTTGAGTTCAAAGCCAGCCTGGTCTACAAAGTGAGTCCAGGACTACCAGGGCTACACAGAGAAACCCTGTCTCCAAAAAAAAAAAAAAATTAAAGAACCTGGGAGCTAGAGAGAGGACCCTAGTTTGGCTCACAGGGCCCACTTCTGGCAACTCACAACCACCTGGAACTCCAGCTCCAGGGAATCCAACATCCTCTTCTGCCTCCACACAGACCACAAATACACAGTATATGCTCACACAGACACACACACAAATAGAAAATAAATGCTTATGAAAGCCATATGATGATACTTACCAGCCTTCTTCTTTCTTTTGCTTAAACACAGTCTGTTACATTTCTTCTTGGAGGGTTCGGTAGCTGGCTGGCCTAGCTCAGATGTCCGTATCTCAGAGTCCACTTCCTCTTCTGGAGAAGATGCAGTCTCTGGAGTATCAGGTACTATTTCCTTCTCTCTGAAAATGATACTGTTTAAATAAGTTTTCAGGCAGACATTTGCCACGCCAATCCTTTGAAAAAGAACCCAGAGGTTAAAAGTAAAACAGGAATTCTAGACTCGAGTCAGGAGCTGTAGCACATACTTAGCATGCACTAGGAACTGAAATTAATCCCCAAAGACTTTGGGCCCAGGCCTCCTACAGTCTCCTGGGGCCATGTTATCCAACTGCTTTCCTGTTTCCTTCCCGACTCAAACAGGCATCTTTCCTGAGCTAAGAGAAATCAACACAAGTATAATGAATGACAAAATAAACAGAATGGAAGACGGGTCACCATTTACCAGTGTTATGTCCATTTGGTATTCCACCTGTCTCTCTGGAATAAACTTACCCATCAGCATTTTCATTATCAGTGGTAGAAGGAGCAATTCCGGGTTCTTTGTCTGATTTGGTAGGTATTGTGCGTTGGACACAGGAAGTCTCTGCAAAATTAAGGCCAGACCCTAGCCCTCCCAAAATCAAGTATTACAAACAGAGAAGAAACAAATGTATGACTAGAAGAGTCGACCTTTGGTATTTTGTCATATGATAAACCTAAAATCTTTCAATTCAGGAAACCAAAATCCAAATCTTTCTGCAAGCCTTTCCATATTGATCAGCCTCATTCCAAGGCAGCCAAATAATAATCTTATTGTGTACATATCCTATATTTTATCTTATTTTTCCTCAAACTCCTTTTTTTTTTTTTGAGACAAGGTTCTCCGTGTATCCTTGGCTGTCCTGGACTCACTCTGTAGACCAGGCTGGCTTCAAACCCAGAGATCCGCCTGCATCTGCCAAAGCACTGGGATTCAGGCCTGTACTACCAAGTCTAGCTCTTAAACTCCCTTTAAGAAAAGAAGAACACCTACAAATAGCTACGTTCTCCTTAGTCACTTGACCTTATAGAAAAGGCCCCTGACCCGACACAGCAGCCCTTTTTATTCTAAAGGATCAAACCAGGGGCTGGGGAAATAGCCCAGTCAATAAAGTGTTTGTCTTACAAGTATGGGAATCTAGTTCAATCCCTGTAACCCACGTAAAATCAAAACAAAACAAATTAAGTGTGCTGGCATGTACGTGTAAACCCAGCACCGAAGATACTGAGACTCCTAGCAGCCTAGATGAGAGGAATTGGTTGAGCTCCAGGCTAGTGAGTGACACTGACTCAAAAAGCAAGCTAGAGCCTGAGGAATGGCAACTGAGGTTGACTCCTGGCCTCAGGCCATACAAGCAGACGTGTGCGTCTGTACCTGTACACAGGCACCTGCAAACACGAGCACAGACACACAGGAGCCTGAAGAGCGCAGCACTTCAACAGACACACTAAATAGTCATAGACCAAATCCATAAAAAGAAGCAAAGCCATATTAAAAATATACAAGACTTAGACCAGTGAGGTGGCCCAGCAGGTAGGGGCACTTGAACCTAGCCTGAAAACCTGCATTCAGTCCCCATGCTCCACACGGTAGAAGGAGAAGAGCAATGTCTACAAGCTGTCCTCTCACTGAACACAAAATTCAGGTGAGGCTACGTTGAGTCTGAGGTCAGTATCATCTACTTTTCTAAAAGTCTTCCACTTTTCTCTAACATGGTTTAGCTACAGGCCTTGATAGGAGATTAAATATTTCAAGTATCATTTACTATTTTCTCAGGAAGAGGGGAGAGGAAGACGCTGCCGACTTGTACTACCCCTTGGATGACAGTCGCTCTGCCTAACGAGGCCTTTTCCCGTCACACCACGCCATACCCAAGCACTCCTGCAGGGGCTTCTGCAGCACAGTCTGGAAGATCTCCTCAAATTCTGCATTGGTAAGAGTTGTTTTTTCCTGCAGAGACAAGGATGAGGAAGGAAAACTGTTTGTCTTTTCAAAGTTTCTCTCTTCTGAGAGAGAAGTCAGGGAAGCCTTGTTTACACAAAGCAGTAAATGAGCAAAAGTACAGGTACAGAGTCACCAGGGTTCCATAAGCGTCACCCAGAGCCCCTGGGGGTAGAGGCGGTGAAAAGGGAACTGCTGCTCTCATCTTTATCCACCTTATCCCATTATTACTAAATGCTTCATCAAACCATTTGGGGCCTGGTGCAGTGATGTGCGCCTGTAATCCCAGTACTCAGGAGGCAAAGGCAGGCAGAGCTCTGTGAGTTCGAGGCCAGCCTGGTCTATGAAGAGAGTCGAGGACAGCCAAGGCTACACAGAGAAACCCTGTCTCAAAAAAACAAATGTATGTATACATGTATATATGTAAGTATATATGTATGTATATATTTGTATTGTGGCATGGTGGCATACATCTGCAATCTCAACACTAAGGAGACAAAGGCAGAAGAATCAGGAATTCAAGGCCACCGTTAGCTACATAGCAAGTTCATGGCCAGTGGGCTACATGGGACTTCTCCTCAACCAACTAAAAACATGTTGGCTTCTTTCATAAGAAACTTAAAAAAAATTAATGAATAAAATACTGAAAAAGCTGTGTATGATGGCTTACATCTTATTTTCAACACCTGTGAAGCTGAGACAGATCTGCCATTAGTTCCAGGCCAGCATAGAGCTACAAAGTAAGATCCAAGCCAGCCTTCACTATCAAGATTCTGTCTTAAACCAAGTGTTTTGTTTTTGTTTTTGAAAGTAAGCTAAACTGTGGTTGCAGAGGATGCCTGCAGCCCCACCTGTTCAGGAAGGAAGCCGTGGGGAACTGCAGTTCCAGTACCGGCCTGGGAAATGGAGAAAGACCTGTCTCAAAATCAAAAACAACCAAAAAAGGGTGTGCTGGTGCAAGCAGATCTCTGTGAGTTCCAGGCCAGCACTGTCTACACAGGAAGTTCTAGGCCATTCAGGGCTAAAATATTATAGGAATGAAATTATAGCTCAGTAGCAAGATGCTTGCCTACTAAGCATGGGATCTTGGGTTCATTCCTCAGTAACATCCCCTAAATGCACACACACACACACACACACACACACACACACACAATCCCCAACACAAAAAGATTCTGTTATCAGACTTATCCAAGAAACAGAGTAGGAGGGACCATCCTCTGAGATCCATCAGTATGAGTCATACCTTTCCTTTCTTCTCTGCAGGCTTGTCATGAGCCTTTCGCTTTTTCTCCCGGCCCCTGCCTGGACCATTCTCTGTGGCTGCCTTCTGCTCCTTCTTCTCTAAGCTGGCGTTGAGCTGGCTGGGCTTGGCCTCTACCTCTGGAGACCTGGCCCCCGGGGGGTCGTCCTTCCATGGCTTAGGCTGAGGTTTCACGCTATGTGACTTTTGTGTAGGTGGAGCAAAGGCTTTCTTTGTTCCCTTTTCATGTTCTAAAGAAATTTCAATTGAAGTTTAGGAAAGCCAGTGTCTAACAGAGATTACTGAACACTGCCCGTGGCGCAGTCAAGTTGGAATTGGATGGAAGGAACTGTTAACAAACCCAGATCTCTCGGGCCCTCTCTGAATGCTCCATTCTACCAGCCCTGAGGTTATTTTAAAGCAGTTTGGAGTGAGAAATTTGTAATTTGACAAGATTAGTTCTAACATATCCCAGGCTTGTTACCACTAATTCAAAATGATTGATACAAGCATGTAGGATGGTGAATTATTCATGTGTGAATTCTTTTTTTTTTAAATAGGCTCATTTTAACTTTGTGAAAATAAGCTTTAAAAAATATATTAAATGTTTAGAAATTACTCAAGGCTTAGTCTTTAAAAAAAAAAAATCTAGTTTTCACTGATCAAAATGCATACAGGAACAGCTCCAAACTAAACAAACTACAATAAAATCCTCAAGGCCTATCTGATGCCATCTCCTCTATAAAAATTATACTGATCCCACCAGGTGTAAGCGATAATCTATTTTTTCCAAGCACCTGTAACACTTTGTACTTCTCTAGTGGCATTCAGCATAGCTAACTTCACATTATTAATACTTAAATGTATTTTTTCTCCCTGTGAATTCATAATTCTTTGAGCATGGCTTTTTTTAAAGACTCATTTAGTCATTTGTTTTTATTCATGTGAATCTGTGTGACTTTTGCGCACGAAGGTTTGGCCCACAGAGGCCAAAGGGCATCTAATCCTCTGGAGCTAGAGTTACAGGCAGTTGTGAGCCTCCTGATGTGGGTGCTGGGAGGCAACCTGGATCTTCTGGAAGAGCAGCAAGTGCTCTTAACCACTGAGCCGCCTCTCTAGGACTGTTTCTGAACCATCTTTATTTTGCTCAATACAACTGGCAGCATGGTAATTTGCATAAAGCAAACAGAAAACATGAGCAGAATTCTCCTTTGAAGACGAGAATGAACAGAAGGGAAAGGGGAGAAAGGTATGAAGTGAACTTCTCTCCTCCTTGCCTCACCTCCGTTACTCTGTACCATCGCCATCACTCAGTTCAGTTCAGTTTCTTCACCTCTGTTAAAAGAAAGCAGTGTGTTGTTACTTTGGTTAAACATAATTTAAACTTTCTTTTCTCCATGTCTTCTTGGATTTAAATTTCTTTGTCTGGGACCCTAGACAATACTTCTGCCATCTTCACTCCATTTCTACCATGCATCAGGTCTGACTACAGGCCTGGGCAGACAGGCAACTGTTGCTTAAAAATAAGCAACAATCTTTATTTTTGTTTGTGTGGCACTGAGGCTCTAACTTGGGCCTCTGTACATGCTAGCCAGGCAAACATTTTACCGCTGAGCTACATCCCCAGCCCTTTTTCATGTAAGACAGGGTCTCTGTAAGTTGCCAGAGCTGGCAACTTTTATAATTTCTTTTATAGTAGTTGAACTCACTCTGTAACCCAGGACAAGCTTTGAACTTGTAATCCTCCTAGCTTCTGTCACCAAATTAACTGGGATTACAGGTCTGACACATAGACCTCAGTATTTTGAATACCTAGACTTATGCTTGACATGAGACAGGCTAGCAGTGACGGATTAGATGGACACAGAAGCAGCAGTGACGGAAGCACAGAAAGTATTGGAACCGTGGTAGTAGGGCATGGTTAGTGCTGGGAGTTAAAGAGGGACCTCCTCATTTCACAAAGTTCCCCAAATACTTAGGAAACAAGTCATTTGGCAATTCTCCCAAAATAATTCAGAGGTTCCTATGCACAGGGATGTTATTTTTCCCATTATTTGAATGTTCAAGCCAAAAAAACAATCCCAATCCCAGATTCTACCAATTGTAGCTCAGAAATATGTGGTAACCAGAAAGGCTCCCCCTGAACTTAGCACCTTCGCTCTGACTCTTTGACACCCCGTCATGAGAACACCTCTGCTGATCACAGCTCTCCTTAGGGAGGTGCTCTCAGCTGGTCTACACTAAGCCAGTGTTTTTTTCTTCCTTGTGACTAGTAACAGCTAACACATATTGAGCACAGACTCTACTCTTCTTTACCTTACGTACGCACTGAGTTCTCACAGTGAAGCTAGGAGAATGAGTCCACTAGATCGCAAGATGTGTTCAAAATGGACTGGCCACAGTAAGCTAAATGCAGAGTACTTTTAAACTATGTTTTGGTGTTTTCCCACTCCTTTTCACGTATGTGTATGCACACACATATATATGAGTAATTTGGGCATGCTGTTCTGAAGCAATTACTGGTCTTCTATAGTGGGGAACATATTCTCAGTTTCCATCTTAATTCATCATTGCTAGTCCCCATATATATTTGCTCCATAAAAAAAGGCAAGTGGAAATTGGGAGAGAAAACATTAAAATAACTTGTTCTTTTTTCTTAAATATAGTCTTGAGTAGAAGCTAAAAATTGAATAAAAGCTGAAAAATGAGTATTAATTTGGCCACAAGCATTTCTCCTCCCAACTCCAAGACTCCAAAACACATATAAGAAGTCCCTGTGAAAAGAAAAGAGGAAGAGGTGAAAATGTGTGGCTCTGGTGTGCTGTTTGCTATTTTAAATGCATACTTATGTAACAGGTTAAAAACTCATAAACTAGCTCCAGAAAATACAAAGAACTGATCAAAATGTCTCTGAGAAGCTGATCTAGGTAGCTGCAGGGGGTGTGTATGAAGCTTGCCACTGTACTCTGATTTATCTGCACACACACACAGACACACAAATTCAAAAACTGAATTGCTTAGATACATAAAAGACTACTCTCTGCTGGGCGTAGGTGGCACATGCGTTTAGTCCTGGCGCTTGGAAGCAGAGGCAGGCGGATCTCTGTAAGTTCGAGGCCAGCCTGGTCCACGCGATGGCTTGGCTGATAAAGGCGCCCGCTGCCAGGCCCGAGGACTTGAGTTCAGTGCTAGGGACCCACATAGTGGAAAAGGACCAACTCCCACAGGTTGTGCCTCCGGCCTCGTGAGCACGGCACGGCACGCGGGAATTTGGGGCCATCCTGGGCTACTATGTAGGGTGTCCCAGGCTAGCTATGGCTACATAATGAGACCTTGTCTCAAAAAAAAAAAAAGACTACTCTCCACAAACTGCAAACTTTAGAATACTTAGCTTAAAAATGTATTTAAACCTATACAGATCCCCCAGACTAACATGTTTCTGGAGCTTCAACTAACTAGGGAGAATTCTAGATCACGGTGTTGGAGAGATGGCTCAGTCGTTAAGAGTGCTGGTGCCTCTTCCACAGAACACAAGTTCAATCCCTAGCACCCGCACCAGGCAGCTCACAGCTCCCTGTTACTCCAGCTCCTGAAGAGCGGCCCCTCTTCTACCCTCTGCAGTCACTGCACTCAGAAGCACGTAACACGCAGAGACACATGCACAGACACACACAAATAAAGAATTACAGGCAAGTACGGTGGGGCTCCCCTGTGATCCCAGCACAGAGGCAGAGGCAGGCGGATCTCTGTGAGTTTGACGCCAGACAGATCTACAAAGCGAGTACAAGACAGACAAACCCTGTCAAGAAAAACGAGGGGTGGGGGCAGAGAGAGAGCTCAGAGGTTAAGAGCGCATAAGTCCTGAGTTAAATTCCCAGAAACCACATGGTAGCTCACAGATCTATAGTAACATCTGGTGCCCTCTTCTGGCATGCAGGCATACATATAGACAGAACACTATACATAGAAGAAGAAAGAAGGAAGAAGGAGGAAAGAGGAAGGAAGAAGGAAGAAGAAGAACAACAACAACAACCAGAAAAGAAAAGGAAAAATTCCCGCAGGGCATGGTGGCTCACACCTTTAATTCCAACACTTGGGGGGCAGAGGCAGGCATTAGAGTGAGCCTGAGTTCGAGGCCAGCCTGGTCTACAGAGCAAGCTCCAGGACAGCAGGGCTACACAGAAAAATCCTGTCTCAAAACCAAAACAAAACAAAAAAATTCCTGATGAGCCAGGTATGGCAGTAAATGACAATCCCAGCACTTGGAAGGCAGAGGTGGGCAGAGCTCTGTGAGTTCCAGAATAGTGTGGTATGAGTTCCGAGCCAACCTGGGCTGCAAGAGTACAACACTCTGTCTCTGTCTCTCTCTCTCTTTATGTCTCTGTCTTCTCCCCCTCCTTCTTCTCTATTTCCCTCTCCCTGTCTCCCAAACACATACACACACGAAGAAAAGAAGGAAAAGAGAGATTTCAGCAGTTAAGAGCATTTGTTGTTCTTGCCGAGAACTGGGGTTCAATTCCCAGCACTCACATGGTGGTTCACAACCATCTGTAACTCCAGTTCAGGAGATCAGATTCCCTTTCCTGACCTTGGCAGGTACCAAATACACAAAAGGTCCACATGCATAACTTTCAGATAAAATACTCCCAACTAACGTGAATAAGCCTAACGGTGTCTGTGGTTTAAAATAGAGAAAAGGAAATGTTATGGAGCGTCACTGCACTGCCGCATGAATAGGACGCAGCAAATCTATAAGGAGAGAAGCGTAATCAATAGCACCCTTAATCTAAAGATGGTATGTGATCAACAGTACTTTCAAAAGTTGTAACCCAGTCAACAGAAGAGAAAGCCAGGCGGTTACTGTCTGATAAATTAAGCTGCTGCTCCATTTGAGATGAATTTGCTTCTTCTACCATAACAAACATTAACAATCTGACTCAGAGGGAAAAAATTAGTTGATAAATATGAAAAATGCCAGCTTGCTTCCATTTGTATGTTAGTGTACAAAGGTGGATGCTGATGGTAGGAAGCCTTCATCGTTTTCCACTTTTTTTCTTTTCTTTTTTTTTTTTTTTTTGAGGCAGGGTCTCTCAGTGAACCTGGAACCATTTCAGACAGACTGACTGCTCAACAAGCCCCCAGGATCCAACTGTCTCCAAGCCCAGTGCTGAGGTCACAGACCACACCACAAACCTGGGTGCGGGGTTCCTCTACTTTGTGCAGCAGGCTTGCTTGTTATCTCCCTAGTCTTCACTGAGGGCCTATTTCTCTGTTCTCTCAGAAGAAAAGTAGACATGAAGGGAAAGAGAAAAAAAAGATAGATGGTCCCAGCTGGAAAGATGGCTCTGAGGAGGAGGGCAAGTGCTTGCTGCTCTTCACTGCTAAGATGGAAATGAGAGGGTGGCTGGGGTAGAGAGGATTGAAACACTATATTCATGTACAAATCTGTCATCATGAAACCATTATTATACATATAACATATACTCATAAAGTTAAAAATATGTTCACTAATAAAAGTTTTGAATAGGCCTGATGGAATTTTATTCAGTGCTGCCAATATTTACCAAAAAGCATTAATTATCCACCTTATGACTTCCCTTCCTGACTAGGCAATTATTCCCTCTTGAAAAGTAAACCCTCAATCCTATTTATTACCATAGATTCCAAGAGTTTCTAACAATCATAAAGACTATATTCAATATCAGTATTCAGGAGGTTAAGGCAGCATTTCTAGTTCAAATTTGAGGGCTACATAGCAAGACCCTGCCATTTAAAAAAGGGGGGGTTTCTTGGTTTTTGACACAGGGTTTCTCTGTGTAGTCCTAGCTACTCTGGACTCACTATGTAGAACAGGCTGACCTTGAACTCAGAGATCCACCTGCCTCTGCCTGCCATGTGCTGGGATTAAAGACATGTCCCACCACTGCCCAGCTCAGCTTTACAAAAAAACAATAACAACAACAAAACCCAGACTTTTAAATCTGCTTTAAGCTAAGATTGTGAGCCATGTCTGAATTTCAGTCCTACGGATGTTGAGGCAGAAGGGTGAGTTCTATATTGAGACCTAAAAAAAGATCCTGCCCACCCCACCCCCAAACACACACACACACACACACACCCTCCTATATTTAAAAATCTCATTTAAGAGTGTCAGTGGCTCATGGCTATAATCCCAGCACTTAAGAGACTAAAGGAAGTCTATTGCTGCAACTTTGAGTCCAGTCAAGGCGACAAGTGACTCTGAGAACAGCCAGGGATCAGACAAGCCCCTGTCTCGGAAAATAAACAAAAAAGCGAGCGAGCAAACAAGCAAATATATGCTGACAAATGGCGCAGTGGGTAGGTGATTGTCACTTAGTCCAACGACCTGAGCTTAATCTCAGATCCCACATGTTTTTCGTTGTTCGGTTTTATAGGGGTGATAAACTGGACGGATGGGGTGATACGACCTGGACAGGCTGTCCTCTGGCCTCCACAAACTCTACGGCATGTGTATCAACACACACTCAACACACAATAAATAAATACGGGTAATAAGACTTTTAAAAAGAAAATTCATTTTAAGATTTCTGGATGAAGAAATGGCTCAGAGGTTAAGAGCACAGCCAGAGGTCCTGAGCTCAACTCCCAGCAACCATCTAAGATGAGATCTGGTGCCCTCTTCTGGCCTGCGGTGTACATCCAGAGAAAGCACTCATATGCATTAAATAAATAAATCCCTTTTTTAAATAAATAAATCATTAAAAATGTCCTTTCGTGGGGCCTTTCGGGGGTGCCACGCGCCTTTAATCCCAGCACTTGGGAGGCAGAGGCAGCTCAGGTCAGCCTGGTCTACAGAGCAAATTCCAGGATAGCCAGGGCTACCCAGTGACACCCCCCCCCCCGTCTTGAAAAACAAGATGACGATGGTAAAATAAATGAAATGCATTTCTTCTTACGGAACTGATGGCCTTTGACACTAATAGCCTATGAACCCCTGCCTGTTCTCATGACTTAAGCGGTTGTTTTCAATGTTCGATTTGTGAACACACATGTGGATTCTGCAAACCTTTTAAAGGCTTAACAAAAAAAGGTGAGAAAGAAAGGTCGACTCCGTCTACTCCGCCCAACCTAAGCCCAACAATTTACAAACAAAATCCCCGAGGGGGTGTGGGCTCGGGGAGGGCCGGGCCGGAGCTGTGGCGGCGGCGGCGGCGGCGGCGCCTCTCCTCCTCCTCAGCCGGGGTTGCTCTCCCGCACCGTGCCGGCCTGGCGCCAGGTCCCCGTCGGCGCCGCTCGCTCCCGGCCCCTCAGGGGCGCCCGCCCCGCCACGGCGGCGGCGCGGAGAAACTCCCCTCGGCCCGCAGGTGCCGGGCCCCCACCCACGGCTTGCCTCTGCAGCTGCCCAGGAGCCAGCGACCGCTCGTGGCGACGCGGGCCTAACGACGAGGCGCGGCTCCGGCTGGCGCGGCCACCCCGCGCATCCCTGCCACCTCCACCAACTTTTCCCGCCACCAGGAGAAGGCGCGAGGACACGGGCGAATCCCGCCCCCCAGCGGCGTGCGCTCGGAAACGGTGCGAGTGCGCGTGCGCGGCTGGGCGCCACTGCTGCGCACGCGCAACGGAGTACCCCGCCATCTTCCAAACGAAAGCCCGGTGAGACTACAAGTCCCAGAATCCTCGCTGTCGCCGGTTTTTAACTACGGGCCCGACGCGCCCGAGGCACTTCATTGCGTCAGATCGCGTTCTTCCTGCTTTCGTGCTATGCCCCGTATCTTTAAGTCTCCGTCAGCCTTATGTTTTGTTTGAGGCTGTCCGGGCTGGGGCTCCCCCGTGCTCTTCTCTGTGGGCACGGAAACTCCGCCAGCCGTCACCCTGGGCACTGGGCTTCGAGTCAGTGCCTCCCATCGGCCGGAGTGGCCCAGCACCCGTTCCCGCCCACACTCCCGGCGCTGGCGTTAACGGCGCCGCCAGCCCTCGAGCTGGGCGCTGATGTCCACGCTGTGGCGGAGGGGGGGAAGAGGGACCGGGACAGCCTCGGTGTTTCATTGTTTTATTGTGTTCGGCCCAGAGAGCACGTTAGGTGATGTCTTCCCTTTTAGGGACAGCCGCTCTGGTCCTCCCCGCGGGCTCCTGGGAGGAGAGGCCAGGGCGCTCATGAATAATTCATGAGCCCGCCCCCTCGCCCGAAGCCACGCCCCCGGAGTCGGGCTAACGCACGCCGCGTTGCTCCAACCTGAGGCGGCGACGTCACGGCCCCGCCCCCCGCGCGGAGGGGGCGGGGCCCGCCGCCAGCACGTGCGGCTCCGCGGCCCGCGCAGGCCCGGGAGGAGCGTGCGCAGGCGCTCTCGGGGAGGGGCGGGGATGGGGGAGGAAGGAGGCGGGGCGGGGCGGCTGTTGGGCCTGGAGCCGGGCGGAGACGGCGGAGCCTCATTCCTCAGGAGCGAGGGTCGGGTGTCGAGGAGGCCTCCCCGCAGCCGCTCCCGCTCCCGCCCGCGGTGGGTGGGCCCGCGCGGCAGAGGCCGAGGCTGTCAGTGGGGCTCGGACGTGGCCGCGAAGGGAAGTGGGGCGTCCGCGCGGGGCGGTGGGCGTCTCGGGCCGGGGGAGGGCGAGGCTCCCCGGGAGGGGGCCCGCCTTTGAACTCCCGCAGCCGTTAGGTTGCTCCGCGCTCCCGATGCGCGCGCAGCTCGGGCGGCGGCGGCGTGCGCATGCGCGGGCCCCGGGCGGGCGGACCGCGCGCCCCCGGTGCGCGCTCGCGGCGCGGTGGTAGCGGCGGCGGCGGCGAGGGTGTCGGCGCACGCGCAGTGGGCCCCTCGGCGCGTCCGGGTCTCGCGGGCATCTTGTTTTGGTCTCGCGGGCGAGTGGAGCGCGCCTGGTGTGTCGCGGGCGGGAGGCGGAGGCGCCCGGGCGCCCGGCGGAGCTGCGCGCGCGCCCCGGGGAGGGGAGGGCGGGCTGCAGGGGGCCTCCCCGCGCTCTCGCCTCGGCACCCCCCGCCTGGGAGGGGGGGGTTACCCGGGGAGAGGAGATGATCGAGATGGCGGCGGAGAAGGAGCCCTTTCTGGTGCCGGCCCCGCCGCCGCCGCTCAAGGAGGAGTCGGGTGGAGGGGGCGGCCCCGAGGTGCGAGCGCACCGGGAGGCCGCCTCCGGGGAGCCCCGCGACGGGACGGGCCGCGGCCCGGGCCCGCGCGCGCACTCGGCCGGGGCCGCCGCCGGCGGAGGGGGCGGCCCCCAGGCGCATGGGGAGCCCCACGGGCGAGCCGCCGCTCCTGCGGACGTGGGGGAGGAGCGACGGGGAGGGGGCGGGACGGACCTGGGTCCCCCGGCCGCTCCCCGACCCCGCAACGGCTACCAGCCCCACCGGCCCCCCGGGGGTGGCGGGGGCAAAAGGAGAAATAGCTGTAACGTGGGGGGAGGGAGCGGCGGAGGCTTCAAGCATCCGGCCTTCAAGAGGCGCCGGCGGGTGAATTCGGACTGCGACTCGGTGTTGCCCTCCAATTTCCTCCTGGGGGGCAACATATTCGATCCACTGAACCTGAATAGCCTCCTGGATGAGGAAGTGAGCCGTGCGCTCAATGCCGAGACCCCAAAGTCCTCCCCACTTCCGGCCAAGGGGCGAGACCCTGTGGAGATCCTCATCCCCAAAGATATCACTGACCCGCTCAGTCTCAACACTTGCACTGATGAGGCCCACGTAGTGCTTGCCTCGCCACTCAAGATAGGTCGCAAGCGCCACAGGCACCGCGGGGCGCACCACCAGCAGCAGCAGGCGTCTGGAGGGAACGACAGCCACGCCGTGCTGCCCGCAGACCCCCTCACCCCCTCGCTCCACGGGGAGGGTGCGCAGCAGCAGCAGCACAGGGGCCAGAGCCGCGATGCCCCTCAACCCTATGAACTCAACACAGCCATCAACTGCAGGGATGAAGTTGTGTCTCCCCTCCCGTCCGCCCTGCAGGGTTCCTCAGGCTCCCTTTCTGCCCCTCCAGCTCCCTCAGTTACCTCTGCGCCCTCATCCTCCTCCCGGCATCGCAAACGACGCAGGACTTCCAGCAAGTCGGAGGCAGGGGCTAGGGGTGGAAGCCAGGGTTCCAAGGAAAAAGGCAGAGGGAGTGGGGGAGGCCGCCCCCACCACCCGCCAGCAACTGCCTTCAAAAAGCAGCAGCAGAAGTTCCAGTATGGGAATTACTGCAAGTACTATGGCTACCGCAATCCTTCCTGCGAGGATGTGCGCCTTAGGGTGTTGAAGCCCGAGTGGTTTCAGGGCCGGGACGTCCTAGATCTGGGCTGCAACGTTGGCCATCTAACCCTAAGTATCGCCTGCAAGTGGGGCCCGGCCCGCATGGTGGGGCTGGACATCGACCCGCGGCTCATCCACTCTGCCCGCCAGAACATCCGGCACTACCTGTCCGAGGAGCTTCGCCTCCAAGCTCAGACTCCCGAGGGGGAGGAGGGGCCTACCACTGTCCGAAAAAGGAGCTGCTTCCCAGCCTCGCTGACAGCCAGCCGGGGCCCCATCGCTGCACCCCAAGTGCCCTTGGATGGAGCGGACACGTCTGTCTTCCCCAACAATGTGGTCTTCGTCACGGTAAGAGGCCAAAGGCCCCTGGAACAGGGTCAAAGTGTGAAGATGAGGGTAGCTAGGGCAGTGTTGTGGGTGGTTGTGACCTAGAGGGGTGCCCCCACCTCTGGTCTCCCTACAAGAACCATCTGGAGAGAGCAGGCTGGGCTGGGCAGAGTCTCTGCTGGCTGTTGGCTCCCCTGTGACCTGGAAAGTGGGATCTCTCCCTTCAGGCTTTCTCATGGCTACAAGGACCTCAGCCCTCAGCGTGGGGGCTGGCTTGTCCTGCTCCAGCCGGCAAGCTGGCACTGTAATGCAGACCATCCACCTTCCCTTGAGGGTAACTGGACTGCAGCTCAGTCCAAGTGGACCCTTGCCTCCGCTCTCCCGAGGGAGCCTGAGCTTGGCCTTTGAGGGAGGGCGCTGGTGTAGCACTACGGTATGTGCAGCTTGGGGCCTCTGATCGGGACGTGTTTGCATCGGCTGCTTTGGTTTCCCTAGGTACAGTACAGACTGCTGAAGGGACTGGTCAGGGACCCAGTAGACTGGGCTTGTCTTTTCCATGCCGACTGAAGAGTGAAGAGAGGACTCTGAGGGAGGGGAGAGTGCCAGCCTGACAGCATTTGTCCATGACTGCACTAGCTCCCTCCACTAAGTGGTTAGAGGGCTGTTCACCAGTGGCTTAGCCTGGAGATTGTCTTTCCAGGAGTAGTGATGACTTTACCTTCTAGAAACAAAAGGTTTCCTGAGGTTTTTCATTTTTTTGGAGAAAGAATAGACCTGAAACATGCATGGAGAGTCGGGGTCTTCAGAACCATTGCCTTTGGATGTGAGGTCCCGTGGGTGGGAGGAAGAATAAACAGAAGCCGGGGTTTGGGAACACTCCAGTATTCTCCAGTTATCCTCTGGATGATTAGCTCAATTTCTATCTGCCCAGGCTCCCTTTTAAGTTTGTTTGGTTTAGCACCAGGAGGAAGCAGAGGCAGGAAAGGGAGAAGAGCGTACAGGAGACTGAACGAAGGCGCTATCGGAGGAGCCTCGGAAGGCGGCCACGAGGGCTGGAGTGAGGTTGTGTGTAGGACTTTGTCAAGTAGCTGTGGGGCCCGTGGTGCTTCTCATCCCCCCCCCCCCATTCTGACCTCCTCCCCTCTTCTGACCCTCAGGGTAACTATGTCCTGGACCGAGACGAGCTGGTGGATGCCCAGAAACCTGAGTATGATGTGGTGCTGTGCCTCAGCCTCACCAAGTGGGTGCACCTCAACTGGGGTGACGAGGGGCTGAAGCGAATGTTCCGCAGGATCTACCGGCACCTGCGCCCGGGGGGTATTCTGGTCCTGGAGCCCCAGCCGTGGTCCTCCTACTGCAGGAGAAAATCTCTCACGGTGAGTTGGGCTTCAGTGGAGCTAGAGAATCGTCTTTTTATATCCCCTACCTCACACACGGCAGGTAAGGTGTTCTACCAGTGAGCTCCAGTCCCGGGCCTTTTGTTTGGTTTCCCAAGACAGGGTTTCTCTCTGCATAGCCCTGGCTGTCCTGGACTCACTCTGTAGACCAGGCTGGCCTCCAACTATGGAGATCCACCTGTCTCTGCCTCCCGAATGCTGGTATTAAAGGCATGTGCTGCCTGGCCAGCCCTTTCTTATTTTCTGTTTCGAGACTGGCCAAGCTGCTAGCCTGAACTGGCTGTGTGGTACAGGGTGTTCTTAAAGTCTTCATTCTCCTGCTTCAGCCTTCTAAGTACTGGGGTGCTTGTCCACCATACCCAAGCTCAGACTTTCTGAGCAAGGAGAAAAGCATGTCAAAATTGGCCAGGGGACGAGGTGGCCAGCAGGAGTGACTCCTCCCCTTTTTCCCCAGGAAACAATCTATAAGAACTACTTTCGAATCCAGCTGAAGCCAGAACAGTTCAGTTCCTACCTGACATCCCCAGAGGTGGGCTTCTCCAGCTATGAGCTCGTGGCCACACCAAGTAGCACCTCCAGAGGTAAGAAGGGCTCGCTTTTGTCGGCTGGGAGGAGCTGGCCCTGGTTCGAGGGTACAGGCCCTGTGGAGAACCTTAGGGTCCCATCCACCTGCTTCTGTGTGCTCTTCCCTGCAGGCTTCCAGCGTCCTGTGTACTTGTTCCACAAGGCTCGGTCCCCCAGCCACTAAGTGGCCTTCTGAGTGGAAGGTGTGAAGAGGCTGCCCTTGCTGCTCCTGAGGACCTGGGAGAAGAGGAATTATCCCAAGGTCTTTCCTGTCTAACTCCAAAAAGTTTCCTTTCTTGGACCTGTAAAGAGAGCTTTTCCTACGTTGCTTCCCCACGTCTCCTCCCTGACACCTCTGGCACCTGATCAAGCCCAGCTGGGCTGGAATTACATCAGCTTCTTCTGCCAGCCTGCTGGGCTGGGTGGCATGGACTGTTTGCTGACTCTGTCCTCCCAGGGCATGGGAAGGGGGATGTCAAGTTCTCCAGGCCCTTCCTCCTGTCCCCGGAAGGAGATTCCCGCTTCTCCTTGGCCTTTGTTCCTAGCAGCACTTAAGTGGACCATGGATGGACTGAGGGTGTTAAAGGGGGTTTTGGTAAGGAGACACACAGGTACTGTGAAAATCCTTCCTTCTGCTGTCCCCCGGTGGGAGAGGGAGCTGGGTGTGGGATGTGAGAACAGCACAATAAACTTGATAACTAGGGCAGTGGCCCCTGCACCTGTGTCTGGCACTTTGTAGCAAGGTGGTTATCTCCTAGCAGGAGCGTGTGGTCCCTCAGCCCATTCTAGAGTCTCTTGCAAGTGGCTTTTCCTGGGTGTCCTGAAACACAGGCCTTTCATCCCAGCATTTGGGAAGCAGAGGCAGACAGATCGCTAAGTTGGGGGGAGGGGGGTTGGTTTTGGTTTTTCAAGACTGTAGCCTTGGCTTTGTAGACCAGGCTGGCCTTGTCACAGCAATCCACCTCCCTGAGTGCTGGAATTAAAGGCATGCACCACCAAGCCCAGCAAATCTCAAGGATTGTAGCCAGCCTCAGTGGCCTGGCTGCATTGTGATTCAGTGTCTCAGAGAGCTGGGGGTTGGTGCTTTGGAAGACTCAGTACCTTACTACTGCTATGAACCACCATGACCTTGGTGAGGAAGGGGTTTATTCAGCTTAACACGTCCACACCTCAGTTCATCAAAGGAAGTCAGGACGGGAGCTCAAGTAGGGGCCTGGAAGCCATGGAAGGGTGCTTACTAAGTTGCTCCTTGAGGCTTCCTTGGCTTTAGAACCCAGGACCCAGGGTTGGCCCCACCTTCAGTGAGCAGACCAGGCTCTCTTGCCATGAACCAATTAGTGTCCTACGGGATTACCTGCAGCCTGGTTTTAGAGGCATTTTCTCAAGTTGAGGCTCCTTCCTCTGGTGACGCTAATGTGTGTCAAGGTTGACCTAAAACTGGCCATCACAGTACCCTTACTGCTCAAGATGGGGGTCGGGGGGTAATGCACGCCACCTTTCTCCAGAAGACCCAGGCAGCTGCCTTGTATGGGGGAGTTGGAAGCAGAAGGTTGACTTTGGAGGGCTGGCAGTGGAGGGAAATGGAACTAGAGATGGTCAGTAGCGACAAGCCAGGGCCCGTGGTGGAACCTAGAAGCAACACTGAGCACTCTCCAGTTAGACAAGATAAAAAGCCAGGAAAGTCTCCCTTAAAGCAATCATTTAATGTTAAAACCCACGTTTGGATAAACATTTTTTTGTTCAGTATTTGAGTAGCCAGGTGCAATGGCCCACACCTTTACTCCCAGCCCTTGGGACGCAGAGGCAGACAGCCTACATAATGAGTTCCAAGACCACCAGGGCGCCATAGGGAGACACAGGAGGCAGTATCTCCTGGAGTAGGTTGGCTGGACTCCTGATCCTGTCTCCACCTCACAAGTGTTCATCACATGCAGCTAAAGTGGAATCTGAAACACCTGTGTATCCACTCGAAAACTGGGGGCTTTGTACATGCTTTAACCAGATACAACTACTGACCCTACGCAGCCTGAAAGCACATTAAAAATCATGTGTGTAGTGTGGACTGTCCTCAAACACAGGGTCCTTGTGCCTCAGCCTCCCAAGTACATGGAGCCTCCGAGTAAGGCTAAACCTCAAGTTCTAGTTACAACCAAACGAGATTTAAGTGGAGAGGGAGGTCTGTCTGAACTTTGACACTACCTTCCACGGGCCGCCTCCTGCAGCTTCCAGTCAGGAGCTAAACTGTTAGGTCCCTGGGGCAGTCTACTCCCATCATCTCTCCCAAACGAACAATTGGAAACTTAGGGAAAAGATTTATTCTGTGAGGAAACAGTTTTAGGGAAAAGCAGTTCGGGTGGTTTTGAGGGCTACGCTTCCCAGCGCCTCAGCATCCGATGCATGAGGAAGGTGTCTTCTGAAGGGCGGGGCCGCGCTTGAAGCCTCAGCGCGGGCAGCGCGTCCACGGCCAAGTGCGGAGATTCGTAGCACAGAGAGTCCGGGTTGCACAGCATGGTCATATCTGGCCCCGGCGTGAGCACCTCCTGTGGGAAGGCGAGGCCCGCGGCGAGGTTACGCTCGCGATGGAGGGGGGCCCGGGGCGGGGGGGAAGCCCACGTCCTCACCCCTTCCGTCACCTTCGGCGGCGGGGCTCGGGGCTGCGGCGGCAGCATCGCCAGCTTCTCCTGCAGCGCCGCGCTCAGAACCTGCTCCTCCGGCACCTGCAGACTCACCAGGTCGCGGTAGAGCCGCCGGGAGCGCGGCACGTTCAGCCCTGCGGGCGCCGGGGAGGCGGGCGTGAGCGGCGCCGGGCCGGCCGCCCCCCGCGCCGGGCCGGCCGCCCGCCCCGCTCACCCTCCGCCACGGTCTCCTCCAGGGCGCAGCGGGCCCGGAACGACTTCCTCAGCCGCTCCTCCACCGCCCGCGCCGCATCGAAGTGCGCGGCGGCGGCGCGCGCGCTCCGCAGCTCCAGGCTC